ATATATATATATATATATTGGCCATGAGGGGAGGGAGGGCAGCTGGGGTTGATGTGGTTGTGCGGGTGGGGAAGGGGGTGGCGAGAATGAGAATGTTACATTTAACTTAAAGGTATCTGGAAAGTTAGACATCTGATATTCTTGTGTTTCTCTAAAGCTTTTTGTAGAGTCTAAAATTTAGGTCCAGAGTGTCTGCATTCTAAAGTTAGGATACCATATTGCAGGATTATGAATTCCTTACGCAATACAGAAAGGGGAAAAAAATCGCTACAGGAACGTCAAAGGAATGAGAAGACACAACATTGTATCTTCCATTTCCGTAGCTTTAATTTGCATTCTTGACCCATATATTAATTTTTCACCTTGGAATGGATAAGGGACTGTAATCTTGTTTTCCTCATACCCTTTTACTGCGTTTTCTTATGTGTTGTCCTTGTCCTATCGATGTGTTATTTGACTGCTAGTTATTGTTTGACAGAAGCTCTGTAGGTTGTGAAGGAACTAGCTTGAGGCATTATCTTTCACGGTTGATTGACATTTGAATGATTTTTTTAACACTTCGTAGGAATGGAAGCTACAGATTTCTTTTAAGTTGGGTTTGTTTATCAAATGTATCAAGCTAGTCATTAGTTAATGTTGCCATGTTTTTGTGGAGTTTGTGCAAGTGCAGATTGATTTAAGTTATGATGTTCAAATTTAAAATTCCTCACTGAAGTCAAATTTCGTAAATTCTGATTTCTTGTAAATTCATATTCCTTCTCAAAATCTTGCCTTTTACCGCTGTCAGGATAATAAAGTAATGAATTGTTTAAGGGGAGGATATTTGTCTCCAAATTCAAGGAACTTGACTGTTGTGTCCTTCGTCATTTTGATATTGCTTTCTGATTGTTTGGTTGTAGCTCAATGGTATGTAGGTTTTTTAATTATTACTTAACCATATCAATGGCAGGCAGTTCAAGAGACTCTCAGCAGCTGAACTATCTGATATTGGCTGTTTTATTGTCTTGGCTATTGGAGTCTCCCTATTACAACTAGCAGGTTCACCCTTTATAACCTCTATAACCTTTAGTTCTTTCTTCCACCTTTTTTCTGCTCATGCACATTTAATTGGTTATTTTTGCCTGCTATGTTTATTGTTTTACTAGAACCTTCTCCCTCATAGGTGATACTGACCTTTTTTTTTGCTATCCTTGATTTGCTATTTCAGATATTAGCTGGATATATCACATGATTCGTGGTCAAGGGACAATCAAACTTTATGTTGTCTACAATGTTTTGGAGGTAAGTAATTGCAGTTGGGTTTATATTGAGATGTCTATTTGCTTGCAAAGCTACATTTCAATGATTGTACATTTGGTATTGTTCATTAAAACTTGACTCCTAAGGAAATATAGGATTCAAAATGTTGGTGATATCTTTGATATCAATGCACCCCGGAATCATTCATGATGCTGCTCCATAAATTTCGTTAGGAATTATTTTGAAAGAGATAGAAAAATGTCCTTGAACTTTCCTTCTTTTATATTTTTCCAACTGTTGCAAATTTTACTTTCTGGACCAGAAGACCTAGTTTGGTTTTACGCTTGGTGTATGTGTATAAATGCACTTAGTTTTAGTGCATGCATAATGATACACATGTGTATGTGTTACATAAATTCATATTTATGGTTATTTACATGTAAATTTATTTATGTACTTGTATATGTATGCCGAAAGACCAATATATGGATTGAGTTTTACGTTGAGTTATTTTGCCTTTAATCTTGGTATTTCTGATTATATACCATATCTAAAAAATCTGTTTTGAGCTAAGTGACATCTTTGGTAGTATTTAGTGCTTGCTTTGCTACTATTGTGGCTAATCATGGCTGACTAACTTAATTCCAGCATTATACTTTCATCTTATTCAAGTGCTATTATGTAATGTAGACCCAATTTTTTCTCCTCATTTTGGTGGTTGACTAATATTGTTGTCCATCCTACATATATTGCTGTGATTACTCTTGTGATTAATCAAATGTCCAGACTATCCTTTTTAGTACATCTCTCATATTTTTTGAGGGTGGTGATTCTAAAGGTCATAATCTTCCTTTTATGACTTGGCTGTTGGCTGAGTGCAGAAAGGCAATGCTATAATCTATTCTTTGATCTTTTATTGTACTTATTGTTCGAAATGTATGTTTCTTAATCTACTGTTACTTTCAATTATCTATTTCAATTTATTGTAGAGGCTGAAAGGTCTATAACAACTGGTGCTTGCCCAGATATTTGATAGACTATGCCAAAGTTTTGGGGGAGATGTCATGCAGACGTTGTTTAATACAGCAGATGGACTTGCAAATTGTTCAGTGGAAAGCATGCAAGAATGGCAGTGGAGATTCATTAAGGATGAGGCATTGGCTGTCAGTGCATCCAATATCCTTGCCTCTAGAGCAGCTTATGAAATTTTTTTTGTTGTTTTGCCATGTGACCTTTTACTCTCTAATTATGTTTTTCCTTAACTCTTAATACTTGTGCACTCATTTATTCTGTTAGCTCAGGGTATTACTCTGTCTACTTGCATAGTTGCTCATAATAATGCATTATTCGCTCTGCTAGTCTCCAACAATTTTGCTGAGATAAAGAGCAATGTCTTCAAACGTTTTAGCAAGGATAATATTCACAATCTCACATATTTTGGTGAGTAATTTTCTTTTCTTATACAAAGCATTCAACTTTTTGATAGCAATTTGGTTTCAACGTCTATCGCGAAGCATATTATATACCTTTCATTGGTATCTCCAAACAGATAACTAGTTCTTATTTCATCTGTTTTTATTTTGTTCTTGAAATTCTCAATCTCATAATGTTTCCTCATCTCCTCTAATACGTGCATTGGGGTATTGAAATGTTGGACTTAGTGCCTCTACAATGCTCTTGATTTTCTTTTACCCAACTTATGCCTTTTTTCTCTTGCAACCTTTGTGTCTTACCAGATGCAGTGGAGCGGTTCCATATTTCAGCTTTTCTTTTGTTTGTGTTAGCTCAAAATATCCTGGAAGCCGAGGGTCATTGGTTTAAAAGCTTCCTTTATGTGAGTATCTCACACTATATGTTCTGGTGTGATGGAACAATTGAGTGTGAATGGAATTTGTGTATGTACTTGGCATCTTGATGCTTATGATTGTTGACCATACCTTGCAGAATGCTTTTGTTGTTTTTATATGTGAAGTGATGATCGATGTAATTAAGCATTCATTCATTGCAAAATTCAATGACATAAAGCCTGAATCTTTCTCGGAATTCTTGGAAGATCTTTGCAGACAGGTGTTTTTTTTTTCCATTTTATGTTCTAGAGTCTGTTAGCATCCCATTTTTGCAATCTTTTTTCCTTTTGCATCATGAATATCTACTGCCATGGTTTAGTCCTAATGTGTTTTATGCATTTGTCAGACTCTAAAGATACAAACAGAGACTGGGAAGAGAAGTCTTGTTTTCGTTCCATTGGCACCAGCTTGTTTGGTAAGCATTTATTGCTTGTTTTAGTTGCTACTCAACCTGTGATTTCCTATTTTGCCGACTTTCAAAAGTCCTTTGTTGTCTTCAGTATTCAAGCTCACCCCCTTTTCATACTTACTAATGCCAACTTAGTAAAAGCTCAGTTCGGTTCTTAGTCCCGGAGCTGAGAAAGTTTTGACGAGATTCTTTCCCTTCGTCTTTTGTGTTCAACAGGTGATCCGAGTTCTGCGCCCAGTTTATGCAGCTCATCTACCTTTTAGTCCTTTTCTTTGGAGACTCTTCTGGATTTTGCTCCTGGCTGCTATGACCTTTGTGATGCTTTCTAGCCTCAAGCTGTTGGTCGGCATGGGCCTTCAAAAGCATGCCTGGTGGTATATTAGGAGGTGCGACAGAAGAAGAAAACTTCACAAAGACTGATTTTGAGAGAGTAATTATTGGACAAACATGGAGTTTTAACTCTCGAAATGCCTGGAAATTCTCGTACCCCATATCGTAACAGAGACGGTGAGGATCTCCATTGAACAGCAAATCAAGAATACTGATGCTTAGATATTTGACCTGGAACAGATGTTAATCTGGGCAATTTTGCTGAATAATGCCCATCAAGGTCATATAACTTCATGTGATACCCCAATTTTGTCTTCTTAGAAAGAACATTAAGCAAGCATTTTGAAAGTAGTAGTGGTGTACACAAACTTCAACGGCTACATATGGGATGAATGCATTGTACAGTGTTCATGATGAAAGCTAAAGTTGTGAAAATAGCAACTTTGTTGGAGAAATTTTTCTACATTTTCGAAATCTCTTCTGGTACCACTGGTAGGCATTGATGCAAAAGAATTCACAGACTAAACCAGCAAATAAATGAAGTTGTGTAAAGGACTGTTAACAGATTTGGTAGAGATGAAATCAAAATCCCATCAATACAAATATTAAAGAATGATGAAAAAAATTAAGTTCCGGATAATGAGATTTTCACACAATCATTCACATAACCTAACTACTAGCAAAAGAACAAATAATGAAAATAGTTAAATGCAGAAATCCCCTAATTGAAAATAAGGTGTCACTTCGAATAACTATTGAGCTTTTAATGGGGATTAAAATATCTTAAAGAGTGTAAAGTGCAACTGATTATATTAGTTCCTGAGATTTTACTCTAATAAAAAAAAAAGAAAAAAGAAATGGCCTATCATGATTTGCAAAAATAATAAATAAAAATTGATCATAACTCATAAATACTAGGTATTAATAATAGAAGAATTCTACAATACTAGTAAATGCATTTGCCCCAAACCAATTAAAAAGCAAACTCAAAAGTAATTTACCACTAAATAATAATACAAATTCTCCTCTTTTAAATACTCATTCCTCAACTCTCATTGACTTTTGGTACTGCCAAGTTCGAACTCTTCCACACTTGACAAACTTGCTATCATAGAAAAGGGAGGTATATATATTAAACAGAACAAACACGTAAAACATTCTAGCCATGCAAGTTTTCACATTATGGTGCAAGTATTGAAGCTCTCATCATCATATGGATTGTTGTATCCTGGCTGAGAAGGATATGAGGGCACATATCCTACGTTTGTTCTGTCGTATGAATTGGGATAGTAGCACTGCTCGTGCCCATAATAAGCACCATCAGGCAACGAACTCCCTGCAACATGCTCGTTGCCACAGTAGTTCTCCAGCGTATCAGAACTGTAGCCGAGCCGGCGACTATGTGAAGCGTTTGCTTTGATTTGTGGATGCTTTACGTCAAGATGAACTAGCTCTGCATGTTTCCCGGCTCTTGCTATTGCCCTCATAAGCATGTTTGGATCAACCTCACCGTAAATCTTTGCAAGCCCTTTTTCTGCATCTATGGAGACAGAATATACCCCTACAACAGAGTTCATAGAAACAGCACTTGCGTGTTTGATTTTGAGGATATCAATATTGACTTGAAAAAAAATGATAAACCATGGGATGACGGATAATTAACTTTGATAAATGTTAATCGCACTTCACTTTTTGTTAATCACACTCTTATCATTTATTTTATCTCATAGTCTAATAAATGAAGTCGATATGATAAAAATAATATAGGAAGTGCGATTAACAAAAAGTGGAGTGCAGTTAATATTTCCTGTAGATTAATACAAAAACAAAATGGCCCAAGCAATGATAACTAAAAGATTTTTTTGTGAATAAAATTAACCCCCTTTTGGGCAAAATCAACTCTCTTGTTTTCCCTTTTTTTGCTTTTTGATTTTTTTCCCCCTTCTTTCATACTGCACTAGAGAAACTGGAAAAAGAAAAAAAAAAAAAAACAATCTGAGTCAAGCATAGGTGTCTACACACCAATCTTAAATTAATTAATGATTCATCAAGTGAGTGACCAATTAAGTGGGGGGATGGGGTGTGAGTTAGGTAATCTGAGGGAAGAATTCGGATCCTTTCACTTACACTTGAAAAAAAAAAGAATAATCAATTAAGTGATCAATACTAAAAAAAACATATAAGTGATAAACATTAATGATCGACTATTCATAAATCCCACGTCTTTAATTTGTTGTAAGATACCTTGCAATAGTCTCATTTATTCCTATATAGAGAGAGAGAGAGAGAGAGAGTGAAGAAGTGAGTAATTAAGTAATTACCAATGATGGAGCTAAGGATTTCCATTGTCTTCATCTTGCATGCATCGCAGTGAACGTTCACTTTCAAAACACAAGCCTACAAAATAGTATGTAGGAAAATCAAAATAACATTGATTTTAGGATTGCTACAGATAAGTAACATTATGAAAAAGATAAAGATCAGAATCACAAGCTATATTTTTTAGGTTGATTTCAGAAATGAACTTGAAAAATCAAATTGCATTCGATTTGATCTGTTTCTTTTATTTTTGAGTTTCATAGGACCGAATCTTCAAATCAGTGTCAAAGACAGAAAACTTGATGTTTGATTAGATGTTCACCTTACCACAAAGTTGAAGTTGTACCCATTGAAAGTATTAGCAGAATAAAGGGTTTTCATTAGTTTATCCAAAAAATAAAAAATAATCACACTATTGAGCATTATTACTCTAGATTTTGTAAAAGTTGATTATGACAAGTGAATATAGAAATAATAATTTTACATTTAATCTTTTTTTTTCACTCTTAAAAAGATCTAAAATTTAGATAGAAAAGGAAACATGAATATAAAAAAAAATTAATTATCCAAAATTAAAATCTAAAATCACCCGAAATAATCAAACGTGAACAATATGACGGAGCTATGGAAATACAATCTTCACTCTTAACTACAAAATTTGGATTTCTTGCTTTTTAAGCTATTGATGTGAACCAAGCATCAAGTATAATTGTTATCTCAATTGTCGATTCTGGATTTCGAACTCAAATCCATGAATCTATTGAAACTGCTTCTTCATATACAGGTTATGAGACCAGTACAAGACTGAGCATATGAAGCCAAAAGAACAGAAAATAGTTCAACTTTTTTTTTTTTTATAAAAGAAATATCGATCCTTCCATTCCATAAAATCTGCACTAATTGCAGAAAATAGTCCCAACTTTTATACTGTAATAACTAATAACTAATCACCAACAGAGCCTCAATCAGACATAATCACAAATTTGTTCCTCAAAAAGACAAAAATTACATAGAAGGCAACTAAGCATCTAAAGGCTCCTTCTGGGAAAGTGTAAACGTAGCATACAAGTCCAGTCTTTGAACTTTCCCATGGCTGCCTAGGGCTAGTCAACAAAACCCTCGTGTTATTATTGCAACTGATTAAAAATACTCCCACAATGGCAATTAATTAATCATAAATACAATTTAAGGTGCAAGATTCATTATTAAAATCTACAATAATTTCAAGATCTAGACAATTACTGCTTTATCTATGGGGACTTTTTATATGGTAGATCATTAATTAGAGAATAACAGAAACATAAAAGGTAAATCTAGGATTACCGCATCAGCGTAATGCGCCATCGAAATCAAGAGGATGAACTTCAATCAGATTTGTCAAAGACGAAGGATACTCTAATTGTTGTTATTACTTTTGTGAACAAATACATGGGGGGCGGTACTTATAGAATTAGGTTTAGACTTCCTTTAATTTTAATCGCCGTTAAATTATATTTAGGAAGAAACCTAGTATAATTTTGCATTCAATATCTTAGAAAGCTTTCCTTCGTAGAAAACGTTCCAAGTAAACATTCTTTTACTTACTTCAAAGTTCAAACCCCATTATAAAAAAAAAAATAAGAAAATAGCAATAATTCTTTGGAAATAATAATGTAGGGAAACTGTATACTGGGAAATTGATTAATTCTGGTTTCCAAATTTTAGCATATTCTAGTTTTATTATGTTTGAAATCCCAACAATTTCCTTCCATGTCGAAGATCTTGCCAATCATCAAAGATTAGTGCCCATGGTTACTGTCTGAATTTTTATGGAAGCTTGTCACTTCTTGATTAACATGTCGACTCTTGACAAATAATGAGAAGCCAGGTCGAGTTAATTTGATAATCAAGAATTTCAAACAATAATTTCAGAGGCTGGAAAAGGTTCAACAATCATAAGCTGGAAAATTCATCAACCATCAGAATTGGCCTTTTCGGCATAACACGGGAGAAGTCATCTAAGATTCTGTGTTCATTAAAAGTGAAAATTGCGTGACGGATGAACTTCGAACAATTTGCCAAGCCGAGAGACCATTATAAGATCTACGAATGTGGATGAGTACTGAATCAACCTAGATTGATAATATGCAATGTAATGACAAATTCTCTATATGTGCTTTTTGCTTAGCTTGCACAGCACTGTAAATGAACCTAATCAAACCAAATATTTTAGTGTTTAAATCTGGTTGATTATTTTATTGAGATCGAAATTTTGTTCAAGTTTGATTTGTTTATCTATCGAACCAAATTCAAACGAACTTCTATCGAGTCGAATTCGAATCGAGCTCGAGTAGATTGAGCTTTTTATAGATAAGTTTCAATTTTATGCTAATCAAGCCAAACTTGAGCCGAGTTTGAACATTTATTGAGTGCAAAATGCTGTTCAAGATTGGCTTAACTACTTGGTAAACTAAGTTTGAACACACTCCTACCAAGTCAAACTTGATTTGAGTATTTGAACAAATTGGTTTATCTTTCAATCCTTATACTTAGCATTCGAGTATTTAAACATGAGAATAATTAATTGCACTCCCCTTTTGTCACCGGTGCTCCACTTAAGCCCATTAACAAATAATTAAGTACAAAAATTTTCCATTATTAACAATTCCTCTTTTTTTTCAAAAAAAAATCCAATTGTGTAATTTAGCTCGAGAGTCCAAATGCTGAAATTACTCAAACAAAATATTTTCCATACAGTACATTACACCACAAACAACCAAGGTTGGAATCACCTTATTGACCCCTAGACAGCTAGCTACTGGAGAAATCTTGTTTGAACAATCTTCTCTAGAATGTCATCATACGGAACTATGCTTTTATTTCTTCATGTTCAAAAGCTATAGCGTAGAAATCTGGGAATGAGTACAAATCAGCATAATAGACCACTGACGATCCAGTAAAGAGACTCCAAATTATTGACAGAGAAAGGAGAAGACAGAGATTTAACAGTCACTTGCTTAACGTGTCAATCGGTTGAGTTTGAGTCATGGAAATTGCCACATTGATGGACTTGTCATCCTCATCTCTAATGAAGAAAATTGTGGGTCTTTTCGGCTCAATGATCTCCACGGTCCCTTCCAACATCTTGGCTACCTTTCCCATTGTTGGCCTATTCTCCGCCCGGTCTTGAAGGCACCACATAGCTGTCTTGACCATCCTATTGACCATATCAAAATGTGCAGTGCTGTCATAAGAATGCTTGATTATTGGGTCCAAAATGTCATCAACATTCATTTCTTTGAACACCTTGTCAAATGCCCAACTTGGAAAGTACCATTCATGACTGTCCACCTCTGAGTTCTGCTGGTCAAAATTCCTCTTACCAGCTACTATTTCCAGTAACACCAATCCAAAGCTGTAGACGTCGGATTTCGACGTAATGGGCTCCGGTCGGAGCCATTCGGGAGCCAAATATCCAGGTGTGCCCCGGAACCTTGACTTGGTCACGATGTCCTCCTTTTTCTTCAATTTAGCCAACCCAAAGTCTGATACTTTTGGGCAAAAATCATCTCCCAGGAGGATGTTCTCAGGCTTAATGTCACAATGCAGCACCCATTCTAAACATTCCTCATGCAGGTAAGCAATTGCCCGTGCCACGCCGAGGGCGATCCGGTACCGGATATTCCAATCAAGGACGGGTTTCCGGTCAGCCAATTCCTGTGGGGATTCGTCAAGATCCAAATTGACCAAATCTCTTTGGAAAATGAACTTGTCCAGTGAGCCATTAGGCACATGCTCATAAACCAACAACCTCCTATTCTTCTCAGTACAAAACCCCCATAGCCTGACCAAATTCAGATGATGCATCCGGGCTATAATATTTACCTCGGCCCAAAAATCAGCATCCCCTCCTGCAACATTTTTCAGGGCCTTAACAGCGACTACCCTGCCATCACCTAAAACTCCTTTGTAAACAGTACCAAAACCACCTTTTCCAATAACATCAGAGAAATTTTTTGTAGCATCTTTCAGCTCAGCATAACTGAACTTTTTAAGACCACCTGCAGGCATGACTTCAAGACCAAATGTCCAAGCCATATCCCTATACTTAGTGTACTTCTTGAGAAAGGCCCAGAAGAAGAAAATACCACTAATCAGTTCAGCAGCAAAAATAGTTGTGATGATCACAATATTCCTAGTTGTAGCCCTGGATTCTTCAGGTGGTAAGGGGAGCTTGATTGTAACAGGACAAGCTGTTTCCATTAAGGTTGTCATACCAGTGAACTCTGGATTTTCATCTGTTTCAGAGCTATCAACCCTCAAAAACATGACAGTTTCAGTACCTGGAGACCAGAACCCATAATCTAGTCTTTCCATCAGAAGTATGCAGTCATTTTTGCCATCATATTTGAACTGAAAGCCTTGACAATTATCTTCAGCCAAGCATTTAGCTTGACAATCAGATAAAGCCAAATTCCGAATACTTGAAGAGTTCGCTGCTCCGGTAAAATTCACATAATCCAGACGGAAGAAGTTGCTGTTTTTCAAATCAGTCAATGGAATTTTCCTTTCACAGGAATCATGGGAGCTTTTCTTGAACCCTGGTGGACATACACAAGAAGTAGAGGAATCTGAAGTTTCATACATACATATAGCATTTGCGCCGCACGTACCTTTAATTTGACACAAGTTGAACACGGCTTGCCATACAGTTGCCCATTGATCCAAGCTTGAGTCATAGCTGTAAAGCCTGAGATTTCCATCTTCATCAAGAGCCAACCGTCTCAACTTCTGATCTCCCAGGTCTGATGAAATGAATGATTGGAAGTTTTGTTTTGAAATCCTCCCCTGATCATCCACCTTCAAGAAGGCATTGTCAGCAGTCCAGTAATAATCTGGATCTCCGTTGTACACAAGTTCTTTAGACTCATTAAACTTGAACTTCCCATTCATACTGGAAAGAACTCTCTTTGCATTTGTAATATTCTGATTGGGAAGTATTGTAGTAGTGGGATAATCAAAACTTGCCCAATCACCAAAAACCAAATTCCCACTTTCTTGAAGAATGAGAGCTGTTGTGTTTCTTCTGCGAACAGGTCTTGAAGGCCAGAGATTTTTACCAGAAGGGGTGCTCAAGCTCAGCTCCCCAGTCGGTTTGATGATCAATGAAGCTGAACTATTAACAGGGGAGTCATAATTGGCGGTCCATACTATGGTAGCATTGTTTTCGGTTATTCCATAGTACCAAACTGAGAATGTGTAAAGATTTGGAGAAGAAGGCAAAGGGAGAAAGCCTGCCGCAAAAGTAGAGTTAGGAGAAAGAAGGATTTGGTTCTCGGTTGGAGTCCATGATGAGTTAGAAATGGAAAAGGATGACAAAACTTTTGGTTTTTGGAGTTGGGATTTTGAGAAATGAAGATTTGAGATGCTTAAGATGATGAAGAAGATCAAAGGATACATAATCGGAGGAGGGAGGGAAGGAATGTGAATGGGAAGTGTAGAATTGAGAGCTGAGCAATTGGATTACATAATTGTGAGAACTGGGATAAAAAGAGGACGTTTCTCGGTCGATTGAGTTGACTTTGAAAGTCCACAAGGTAGGCTATTTTCAATTGATGAGTCTTTTCTAGCGCACGTGCTGGATGGGCTTGGCTTCTGGCCTGTCTGCCCTTTTGGAGAGCTGGTGACAGGGACGGGGTTAGATTAATCATTTGTGAATAGTGTGTAATATATTTTTAAATATTTTATATAAATATTTTATATTTTTATAATAGATATATAATATCCTGTTGCTGTTTATATAGGTATAGATCGTATATATAATAATTATATCTTTATTATTAAATTATACAAGTAGTTCACGTCAAATTATATTTTATTTAAAAAATATTAAATCATTCATAACTACTGTTACTAGCAACCCGTCTGCGCCCTTCGTTCCTGGTAGTTGGTAATTGACTAGTTGCAATGCCTTTATGGCTAGTGGGGCTAAGATAAAATCTCGTGAGCCTAATGAAAAAGACTTTAATATTAAAGTATTGGATTATTCTTTTCAATATTATAAGTAAATAATTTTTTTACCTGAAATGCTTGAGTCCACGTCACATGTTAAAAAATTAGAATTTAAATAGGGTTTATGTGTCGTATATCTATTCGTATTAGAGTAAAAAGAAGAAAATTATATAGAGAAATCATGAAGGATTAATCTTAAAGTTTTTCGTTGAATTAACCATTTCGATGCTTGTTTTGAGCATTCTTTTATCAAAATTTTGCTATAGAAAGTCTTTTAACAAATTATTTATAAGATCAAAAGATGTTTGAAAAATATGTTTGAATTTTTAAAAAATTATACTTTGAAAAGATCC